TAAGAAAAGAAAAAATAAATCTGTTATTTATAGAGAGTCATTCTGAATGAAAAGAAGTCATTGGTGTCTTTGTGGAAAAGATATTTACTTGTATCCTCTTCAGGGAGTAAAATGAGAAGACTGATACAGTGATGGCCCAAATATACACTTCTTTTCTACTGCTTTAATAAGTTTGATTCATGCTACTACTTGTACAGGAAATACTGTTACATCTTTTGTGTGCATTTCCACTTAACAAAAAGCTCTTATTTTCTGTCATTCACACTAATGGAAGAAACACAGCCTCAAACTTCAGACACAACTAAAACAGTTTCTTTCAAGCAGTGCATGAGTGCAGTGATGGATGCACGCTTATTCAAATAGCTGGGTACTACAATAACAGCACCTTGAGGAAACTGTAGTTGTGATTTTGTGCCGTATAAATAAAATTGAATTGAAATTAAAGTGGATGCAGCTGATCTTTCAGAGTCTGTTGTAACTCCTTGTTCTATTTTTTTTTACTTTTGTCGTCTAAAGATAATTTTTCTCATGTAACATCAAAAAAATGGATCATGCGGTTTTATTTAAAAGCACTCAGTGACAAATTTGTGACACGCACAAGGTGTGCCAACTAGTTTCCTGCTTCTGTTATCATCTAACTCCTTCCAGGAACAGAGTTCAGCGTGTCTCGGCTTGGCGTCTTTACAGATAGCACCTGTTGTGTTTTGTTTTTTCAAACCACTACATTTATAACTAGAAACATTATTGAAGGCTTTTAAACATATCCTCTAAGAGATATGAACAATTAAAACATGTAAATGGAAAGAGTCAAGACAATTTTAAACATGAAGAACAAATGTTACACATGTTAGCCCAACTCACCGCACCTCAATCAAATCTTCATAGAACATGTAGTGAAGATTTGAATAACTTTGTTTCTTCTCCCACCAGCTGTTCACATGGTCATACCATGATCCGAAAACCCCTGAGGCCACAGAACAATACACAAAGTAATATTAGTAAGTATACAGACAGGAAATTAGATCGCATTGTGATTCTTTTACATTAAAACTAAACTAAACTCACTCTTTCCTTCCATGAAATCCTGCAGAAAGGTGCTCCATTCTCCTGCTTCTGGCTGAGCATTGTTCATCCGATTAAAGTGGTAAAAGGACACTGCATTGTCCTTTGGATTGCGGGCCACATATACTATCTACAGAAAGAGACAACACAATAATCTCAGGGTTTCATGAATTGCAAATTTCAATGGCTTCCAGGCAAGGCAAGCAGCTGTTTGGGGCCCCAAGTCAGTGGGAGCACTCACAGGGGTGACACACTTTAAACTAAAGCAGTGGCAATTCAGCAGAGAGAGTAAGATCGACCTGACCTCCCTAACGTTCCCCCACCTCGCTCCATTCATTCCTACTACAGCTTGAATCATTAAATTTGACAAAACCTAATGACAACAATCGAAGCTATTCATATAAAATCAAATATAAATAAAATATAATCCAAAATAACTAAATGATGCTAACTTAGCCTCAACTATGGGGGAGAGTCCCGGCAGCATCACACCATTTTTATTTATGTTTTGCTTTCTCTGACACTAAAACCCAGTTTTCTCCACTGGCAGAGTAACCTGGTGTTTCCAGCTCTTCTGGCTATGATGTGACTGAGCTGAGTGTGCAACTCTTTTATTGGTGTCACATTACTTATAACATAATTTATAAAATAACAGTGATAAATGCTTAGTTGGAAGGGCGTCCTGAGTCTTTTTGCATACATCTCCACTGCTGGCTGTGGGTGTTTGTGCATGGCTTTTACCCTGCTGCCCTGCTCCCAGAACGACTTGGGCATAAACTGGACTGGTAGATGACTCTTAATGAGACGAGGAGTGGTGGGAAGTTTGTCCGCCATTTCTGCACCTGAGTGATAAGAAGGATTAGTTTGCGATTGATAACATGCAACATTAGACTTATTTAGATA